CCCCGAGCCCGCACCGGGGGGCGCACCCGCAACCCAGGCGACCGGCAGAGGCTCCGAGCACCCCGCGCAGCAACGGCCCCCGACACACGGAGCCCAGCCCGCTCCCGGCAGCGCCCCCCGCCCCGAGCGCCTCGGTTACCGGGGCCGGAGCTCCGGGCTCACGCGGCTAGACCCGGCCGGCGGCAGAGACGCGCTGAGCCCGCCTGCCTCAGTTCTCGAGATGCTGACTCGAGTATAAGCCGAGGGGGGCATTTTTCAGCACAAAAAATGTGCTGAAAAACTCGGCTTATACTCAAGTATATACGGTAGTTATTATCAGCTGTATAACACAGTGAAGAGTACATTACAATATTCAGGTTTAATACATAATGGAATTTTTTAGTTTCATAATTTTAAACTTATGAATATTATATTTTTCCTTTGTCTGTCTTTTCTATGCATCCCTCTTAGTCATGAATATGCATGTTTTTTCTTCTTTTTCCTTCTCAGTAGGGCTGGCCTTTTGGAGTCCTCAAAGCAACCATTTTTGAGAAATTAGAAAAACAAGATTACCCTTTGTAAGGAGGCTTGTGTAGATTTGAAGCCTTCAGTAGACCTCACCCCGCAGTAGCACTGGTCTATCTGTGAGGGAGTTCTAGTAAGAAAAGTGTTAGTATGTGTTTTGCTCGATAGTTTTAAAACAGTAAAAGGTCACTTTTTAATTATTATTGGGGTTCAAACCTGATGTGCTGAAGTCCAAGTTTTAATTGTGTTAACTTTCATAGTCTGTTTTACATTGAGACAATGGCAAATGTTTACTTTGCGTGTATATAATATAGTCTGCAGAAGGCTAACAGGCTAGGGGACAGCTTCTCAACTGGTATAAATTATCAGCTCCATTGCCTTGATAGTTATGAGCTATTATAATTTATACCAGCTGAGGATCTGCTCCAAAGTCTCTCTGTAGTTACTCACTCTCTGTGATAATATTACTGTAAAGATCACAGAAGCTATACGAGGATATTCTGTGCAACCCTGAAAGGGGAGGAGGAAGAAAAATCTCTCACTGTGGGCATTCTTAAGGTAAGCTCCAGTAGGAGTGCAAAGTTAGAGCAGCAAAAGATATAAATTAATACTGAAGCATTTTTTATTTTATGTATTTTCTGACTTTTTTATGTCTAGCCCTTGATTAGTTAGGCTTTTTTGTTTAAAAAATGGCTGAGATGTTTGAGATGCCTGTTAGTAGCAGCCTTATTGCTATTATACGGAGTGTTGACAATTCACAATAGGAAAAGTGTTCCCAGAGGAAATGTTGCTTGTAAGCAGCAATTGAACTTACAATATATTATTGTAAACGAGCATTTACTGTATTTAACATGTATATTAGTTTTCATGGTACATTTTGTAATAATACTGTGTTACTGTTCCTCCTTTAAAGGAAACAGAAATACATGGAGCAAGTATGTGGCACAGCATAAATACATTATACAACACTCTACTGCATTATTATCCTTAAAAACAAACTATCCATGATGTTATAGGAACCTGTTAGACTAGAGGATCAGCATTAAGTAATACAACTCCTTCAGATCCTCAGATGAGAAGTGCTAATAAAGAAAGGTAGCTGCCATGTCTCCTTTCTACAGGTTGGGAAATTGCTCTGTTCTGAAAAATCTATGCCCAAAACCATTTTTCTGGGTCCGTGACAGAACTGGAAATAGAGCCCACACCTTGACTGCCGGTTTTCTGGATAACTCTGCCTCTTATGTTCTACAGTGTTAAGGCAATGTGGCTCACTTGGGTCTTTTTGAAATGCTTTATTGTTTGTATTTCATAAAGATTATTAATTTATTAATGTATTTATATTAATAAAATTATTTATATGATTCTTTCAGGATGGGTGACTGGACTGACTACAGAGCCTGTCCATAGGGAAGGTGGATCTGGTGAAGAACTAAAGATAAGTCAAGAGATGCAGAACAAGATTTCATCCTTAAGGTAACTTAAATAAAGGAAAATTGTAAAGACAGCTAAGTACAAAATGTGGCCAATGTTTAAAACTATGGTGATCTAAGGGAATAATGGTGATAACAATACAGTATATATTTCCATTGGAAATGAAATTGTTGCTATCAGTTTCTGAAGCATATTTTTATTAACCCTTGGAACTACCAAAACTGATAAAAAATGTGTAAAAGGGAAAATATGTGTGGTTTTGTCGGTGTGTTTGCTTTTCACATCTGGGATCACAGAGAGAGAGTGGGTGAGGTAATATCTTTTAATGAACTGACTTCTCTTGGTGAGAGAGACAAGCTTTGGAGCTACAGGGAATTCTTCAGGTCTGGGAAAGCTACTGAGGGTGTCTCACCAAAATACAGCATGGAATATATAATTTAGCATAAATATATACTGTATTGTTATCACATTCTAAGGGACCATTCAAGGTGAAGTGGCCTGTTAATGCCTTGGGGGATTAATGGATTACAGATTGTTTTAATAAATCATAAATCCAATGCCTTTCTTAAAGGAGGAGACTTGTTACGCTATCCTGTCCCCAAGCGAAGCGGGACATGGGCCTAATCAAATGGCTTGGTGGGCTGGATCATGCCCATCCCTGTCCTAAATGATAAGAGCTAGGACCACCAAATTTGTTATGCAGCTTCCTCTTCTCCTAACTTTAAAGCAAAGTCAGAGTTGGGTTGTGCTAGGACAATCAGAAGCCAATGGAAAGGACAGTTTTCCATAACATGCAAAGGGAGGAGCTGCTGATCGGAGAAACGCAATATGAGAGTGGCCACTGGGCTTAATGAGCCCATAAGGGAGAGCTATCCTGCAGAGTGGCCACTGGAGGCAGCTGTACCGTCAAAGGAGTGGCCAGTAGAGCAGTGGCTCTGCCATCTTGCCTGCCAGCACACCAGGTAAAGAGCCCCCTGCCTCAAACCCCACCCCTCCCGGCCCTTGGCTGCAACACTGGAGTGCGGGGAGGAGAGAAAAATGCCCCTGGCAGCCAGAGCAGGAGACTAAGGGGAGAGAAAAGGCCCATGGTCAGATGGGACTCTCCCCACCCTGAGCCTCTCCTTACCTCCCGAGCCTCACACTTGCACCCCCTCAGCCCCCAGCCTCCTGCACTCCCCCCCCACACACACACATCACCAAGGCCCCGCCCTGACTCCTACACTCCCACACTGCCATTCCCCCGACCCTGAAGGTCCCGGGTAAGTCTGCGGGTTGGGATGTTTGAGGAAAGAACACTCAATCTTATACTGTGATGCCTGTAAGTCTGTCTTAAAGAGAATCCAAAGTGACACAGGCTGCTTCCAAAACTTGGTCATTCAAGAGACTCTAGTAGTTTGAGTCTGGAATATCTTTTCCAATCCAGGCTGAGCAATATGGATGCTAAGCAACCCTTGCACTTAAGCATATTACAAGGTCAGAAGCTGAAAAAGGGGTGGTTTTCTTGCAAAGATGTTTCATAAGGAACTTATCAAAACAAATGAGGCAGAAGATTGGTCTGACGGAGCTCTTGCCATTTGTTCTGCCAAACCAGTGTGATTGGTTTCGCTAGAGGTCCCTAGTATATGGGCTGGTCAGATTGGTCATCTGTATTGAGTCAATGATGAGAACAAACTGGAAAAATTCCCATGAGACATTCTCTAATGAGGGGTTTGAGCTGATAACAATATTTGCGCTCTGATTATTCATCTGTAATTTCCATTTGATCAGTTCTTTGCGCTTCTCTTTGAAACCATAATCTTTTAGGCTTGAGTATAAAAGGTGGGAGCCTGAAGTAGATGGCTGTTGTCATCATCAGATCCATAAAGCCTCTGATTGCTACTAGATCCTGGCTCTGGTGTGGTGTTTTCTATTCTAAGAAAAAAGGATTTAATTCCATTCCCTTTATTGTATTTCTGACATATATCATCTGTAGAAGGTGTGACAGATTTTTGTTACCAGTCTGCCTGAGGTGAGGCCACAGGATCATTAAGGTGATTGGGTGAGGCTACAGGATCATTAAGGGAGGAGATGACGGAACACACCAAATGTCTAAGTTTTAAAGCTTTATTGATAAAATAATAAAATAACAGCAGAGAGTGATGGGTGCTTCCCATGTCACTCAGAGGAAGGAAGAAAGCGTTAGTGCCCTGAGCCCCAACCCATTTTCATACTCACACACTCACTACCCGAGGCTGGCCAGGCCTGGGTGGAATGAAAAAAGAAGAGGGGGAAGGGTAGACGGTAGTTTGGTCCTGTGCGCACAGGTCATCCAGGGTCTGCTGTGATCTCTCTGAATTGCTCCAGCTCTCAGGAGGGTTTTAAGTCCTGGGTTCCTTTGGGGGTGTTCCATTCCACGACCTCTGCTCCTGGTGCTCTTTGTGACAGACCAAACCAGCTATCTGTGGTCGCCTTAACTTTTCCCAAAACACACCGGTTAGACTCTGTTGTTCTCTTTGCTTTCCTCCATGCTGGCCTTCGCTTGTCTCGCTTGTTATGGGCTAGCTCTGCAGATCGGTTCAGTTGAATGTCTTTCTTATGGCTCATTGGTGGATTCCAAGCCCCCCTCTTTCTTGGCCAGCAGCCGAGAGTCAGATGTGTGCTGTGGCCTTGAGCTGGCTGGAACCAACGTATTATCTTCGGGCCTAGCAGAAGTGTAGAGTTAACCCCGTTTTCTGCTTTCTTCATCTCCACCCTCCTCCCCCGACCCTTGGCTTCTCGTGACCAGCAAAGGAATCCTTCATTCATTCCACGCTCACACCTTTGACCCTTCCCAAAATGCCCTGCGATGCCTGCAACAGCGTTAGCAATATGCAACGCTGACCTGCCTCCCCAAGGGGACCCTTTGAGGGAGGGGGCCATTGGGGTATGACAAAGGGTGATTGTGATTGGTAACTTTATTACTCTTTGTCCTTACTAGGAAAAAAATAAGAAATTGTAGATTGAAGTTTCAGGGCATCTTAAAGAAAAAGTTATCTTCAGGATTTTATTTTTACATCTGACAGTTTCTCTTTCTTAGGAATGAGCTGGAACATCTACAGATAAAGGTACTGCAAGAACGAGACAAATATCAGCAGTCGTCTCGATCCAGTACTGCTATTTCAGCAGTACCGGCATTTAGTGTGAATGACAAGTTTACATTGAATAAGGATGATGCTAGCTACAGTCTTATCTTAGAGGTGCAGACAGCTATTGATAATGTCTTGGTACAGGTGAGTGATGTTTTAAGACCTAAAATCTAACAAAATATATATTACTTGAAAACTAAACAATCAAGAAAACCGTAACATTTAATTTTTGATCCAGAATATTGTTAACTAGTTTTCCTTACTGAATTAATATATTTTTAAATTTGACAAGTTCACTACTTGAGGTGAGATTCTTTTGTAATTACTTTTACTATTCCTGAATGTGGAGTGTGGTAGGATGCAATTATATAGAAAAAGATCGGATTTGTACATAGCTATTACTAAATATTCCTCCCATCTTAAATTAATTATTCTATCACATCAACTATAGTGAATGTTATCTGTAACAGTCAAATTAGTTAGTACAAAGATATGCTTAAATATCTATTTAATCTTTTACCCATGTCGAATTATAGAAACCATAATGATATTATCAAACTATCATATTGCATCTTCCTCGCTAACTTAATTCATAATTAAAGAGGATAAATGCATTAGAAACTATTCAAAAATGTATACTTTTTTTCCCCATCCTTTCCCTTAAATTTTCTGCACAGAGTGATGTCCCAGTAGACCTACTGGATGTGGATAAAAATTCTGCTGTTGTCAGTTTTAGTGGCTGTGATTCTGAAGTAAGTAACACATAAATGTAAGAGATAATGTACAGAAACTACTGGATAAAAGCTGTCAACCATTACCTATTAGAATTTGGATTTACAGATTCATTCAAGTCCAAGTTAAAATAATGTATTTAATGGCTGAAAATGAATAAAGTATTGGGAGGGAGGAAGTTTGGGAAAATGCATTTTTGTTGGTAGCATAATAGAAGTCAACTGTTGGCCCTTGTATTGCTTTATTGAAAGTTATTAGGCAAAGAGTATTATATTTATGCTTACTATAGATCTTTAAAATATTAAGTTGACCTCATGAAAACACTGTAATTCGCACATTCTCATTTTTTACTAAATACATTTTTATATATACTGGTTTTTTTTTTTAAAAAAAATTATTCCAGAAATGAAATGAGCATTGTGAAGCTTATTTGAAGTCTAAATATTTTAAGTCTGTTTAATAAGTAATTTAGCATCTCAGAAGTTTACACTGAAGATTACAGAAATTAACTGCTCCCTTCAAGTTTCTTAATCATTTTGTGTGATCATTACTTTGGCTAATGTTGGTTTAGCCTACAGTAGGTTTTCTGACTAATTTATCTTTTTATAATGAAGACTTCTCAGATCCTGAGCTAAGTTAATATTGGGAAAACTAGTAGATAATTGTATCTTTTAATTTTTGTAGAATGTAGAGAGTGCAATAGATTTCCTATTCTTTAGCTTTCTAAAGAGAACTAGTACTTACTAATACATAGATCCCTACCAAATTCTAGTCCATTTTGGTCAATTTCATGGTCATGGGCTCTAAAACTCATAAATTTCATTATTTCAGATATTTAAATCTGAAATTTCACAGTATTGTAATTGGCCTTGATTCAAAAAGGATTTGTTGGGGTGGGGAGGTCACAAGATTATTGTGTGGAGGAGGAACTACAGTACTGCTACCCCTGCTGCTGATCAGTTGCTTGCAGCAGCACTGCCTTCAGAGCTGGAGAATGACAGCTGCTGGCCAAGATCCCAGCTCTGAAAGCAGAATTGTTGCCAGCAGCAGCACAGAAGGATGGTACGGAATGGAATTGCCACCTTTACTTGCATGCTGTTGCCTGCGGAGCTGGGTACCTGGCCATCAGCCACCACTCTTCAGTCACCCAGCTTTGAAGGCAATGCAGAAGGAGGGTGGCAGTACTGTGACCCCCTTAAAATAATCCTGTGACACTCACCCCCTCCCTCTTCTGCAACTCCATTTTTGCAAGTGCTAGTTGTGCCCATGAAATCCCTAAAGCATAGGGTAAAGCGCGCACAAGAACAGATTCCATGGTCCTTAATGTATTTTTCATGGCTGTGAATTTAGGGTGCAACATGGGGTGAAAATCTGTGGCATTTTTGCCATTGACTTCAGTGGAGCCAGAACTTCATGTATGTTTACTTTTCCTCTAATAGTTTTACACAGTAAAAATTGTCACTATGCTGCTGAAGTTTTGATGATAAAAGTTTTATGATGTTTTTTTCTTTCGTTTTTTTCATTTTGAATTGTTCACAGCCAAACAGCAACTTTCTCCTTGCCACTTACCGATGCCAAGCAAACACTACTAGACTGGAGCTTAAGGTAAACACACTACAAAATATTTTCTTGTACTTTTAAAAAATGTGTTTTATCTAGAAAATGCACATTTGTATCTTGTGGTAAGCTTATGTGCGCACAGGTTGAATGTGTTAACTTGGACAAAAGACTAGTCCACTAATTTTTATATGGTAGTCTTAAGACCCTTGGCTGTTGACTGAGATACTTCTGGTCATGTACATGATACTGATGAGAACTCCTGCTTTATAGCTGCTTTTACAAAGTACTCACTTTGGATGACTCTAGAAGCCACTGAAGAGAAGTGGGGTGATATAGAAGAGCAAGCCTAGCATCCTTCCTTAAAGGACTTCTGACTCTGAAAGAGAGAGTGAAGAAACCAAAAAATCACCAATGGTCTAAAACCAAAGACTTTCCTTTTCTGAAGTTATTCAGAGAAAGTCTTTAGTTGTCCACTCATTGGTGATTTTGGAAAGGAACTTAACTCTATATTTACATACTCATAAGAACAAATGCATGGCTTGATTTTTAATCTTAAACCATTTATAGAATAAGAAATGTAAGAATAAAAGGGACCTTGACAAGTAATCTAGTACAGCACTCTACATTGAGGTAGGACCAAGGAAACAGATCATCCTGGAAAGGTATTTTCTAATCTGTACTTAAGAAATCTCCATGATGGGTTTTTCCCAAACTCCTTCAGTATTCTATAACTTCTCTACCCTTCAAATTTTTTCCTGATATCTAACCAAAATCTCCCTTGCTGCAGATTAAGACAGTTACTACTTATTCTACTGTGGACATGGAGAACAGATGATTGTTGTCCTCTTTATAACAATTTTAATGTATTTCAGGACTTTTATCAGGTGCCCACTTTTTTATCATCTTTTCTCAAGACTAAACCTTCCCAGGGTTGTTTTTTTTTCTATATTTCAACGTAGGATGTTTTATTTGATCTTTTATTTTTGCTCTCCTCGACACGCTCTAGCACGGGGTCAGCAACCTGTGGCTCTCGAGCCAAACATGGCTCAGTATGGAACCAAATATAGCTCTTCTGTCATTCCCAAAATACATGCAACTTTTTAAATTAAAATTAAAATTTAATTAAAAAATTTAAGAACTCATAATTAATCGTCTCAGGAGGGTCTTTATTTGTCTGTTTCACCTTTAACCAGAAGTGAAAGTGAGGCAGTGCACTCAGTAAGAACTGGCTGTGCTCCTGAAAGAGCTGGCTGTTCGCTTAAAGGGCCGGCTGAGGGCACGCTATAGGGGATGCATGCACGCTCCATCTGGCCACAGTGTCCCAGTTGCAGCCCCCATCTGATAGACAATAGTCTATCTCCAGCTGCCATGCTCCTGGGGCAGATCCTGCAACTCTGCAATGGCAGCCCCGCAACTGCTGCAACAGCCCAGCTGCAGCAGCCCGGCTTGGGCTCTGGCTGCAGCAGCCTGGCCAACAAGGCCCCCGTCAGGGGCTAGCCCCCATCTAGCTGCTGCAACTTGTCTCCAACCCCAATCCTGGGGAAGGCCCCGCAGTCTGGCCAATTCTAGCAGTTTTTTGTTGGATGCTAAATTTTAAAAATGTTTAAAAAATTGTATTTGCCCTTTTTATAGAAGTACTTTGTTAGTTGGATCACTTAGTATTGTACATTTAAAAGATACCTTTTAAAAAAAGTTCTGGGAAATTCATTAATTTTTCCTCTGCTCTTTTTTATGTTTATTAATGTAGATTCGATCAATTGAAGGCCAGTATGGGACACTACAAGCATATATAACACCAAGAATTCAACCAAAAACCTGCCAACTTCGTCAATATCAGATTAAACCACTTTCACTTCATCAAAGAACTCACTTTATTGATCATGACAGGTATTTGCAAAAAATAGTTCTTAAAAATTGGTTCTGTCCAATTGACACACAGTTGACTATGTAACTTGCAGTGATCATTTTAGCAACTGATTTTAAGTCTCATATTGCAAGTCTCTTTGAGGTTGTTGGATTTTTTAAAATTTTAAATAAATGGTGTTCTCCCACATCTAGCTGAGCCCAAAAACTGATCCAAATTGATTGTTTGTCCTTTATCCCTCTGTTTTGATGCTGCCATTTTATTCAAATATACCTAATCTCCCTGTTTCTCACATCACTACTATTTCTTACTTTTAAAAAGGACAGTAAGAAAATGGAATTCCATTGAACTAGACCATATGTGTTTCCTCCTTCTTGATACACATGAATGAGATGCTAATGGGAAAGATTTCTTGTGCCTTCCATTATTGCCTGTTTCACTTCTGCAAAGTGTTATACCTCTGCAAAGTGCTTGCATATCTCTGGTTTAGAGAACAGGAGACTGTTGAGATTTTATACTACTCAGCTTTTCTGCACTGTCTGTTGAGCACCCCACCTGCAGTTTGCTATGCAAATAACCTGCTGAAACAGTTTGCCATTTTTTGGTGTTCTTGCCCAGCCATGACTCCTCTGGATTGAGAATATTCAAATAAGAAGTGTTTCTTTCTCACACATTCTTACACACACTCACGCACACAGCCTAAATTACTTAGGACTTTGCTAGCTATCAGTGAAAACTAATTTTTGAGACTTAAAGGGAGGAAGATGTACCATATAAAAACAAACTTTTTACTTAAATTGCATAGCTACTGCAGCAACAGTACTGCCCATCAGTAACTCATTCCCATTTTCTTTCTGCCTTCAAAATACTGTAGACCCATGAACACACTGATGCTTAAAGGACACTTCAGTTTTGCTGAAATTCACTCTTGGGTTGTGTTTTGCTTGCCTGAAGTTCCTGAAAAAACTCCAGTAGAAGAGAGTGTTACTTTCTACTTTCAGAACACCTTCTTGGATACACAGCTTGAAAGTACTTACAGGTAAAATACAGTGCAGTGCTGAAGAAAATAAATACAGGCTGAGGAAACAGAGTTTGCGTTTCTCCGCTCCTGTGAATGAAAAAAAGAGTTCAATCCCTGAAACTCGAGACTCTTGAGAGAGTTGCTAGAAGCCAGAGCAATTTGCACTAATTGTTATTGTTTTAATGGGCATCTAATTTTCCTAAGAAAAAAGCACATGATAAATCCTCAAGGTGAAAAACAACCTTCTTCTTTCTGCAGCTCCCATTAGAAAAATGACTTATTTTCAGTATTAGAAATAATATTCTCTGTTACCTTTAAGTGAACCAGTGTGCTGCTTCAGCTAGCAGATATCATTTTGCTTTATAATAGAGTAGTAGAAGCTGGAAACATTAATTATTACTCCAATTATATAGATTTCAATTTGATCTGGGATTAGAGTAGGAGATGCTTATATATTGATGTAAAAGCATTTTGACTTTCTTACTCTTTTTCATGTAAAGTAAGACTGTGATGTTAGGCTCATATGATGATAGGCACACTGTAATAACTTAAATATACAGATGTTAGGAGTCCTACATATTATACTGTATTAACGAGATTGAGCTTTGAATAGCAAGTATGGTGACATCAGTGTATGCACTATTCTGATAGCTAGTCTCTAGAATAGCTTTAGTCTGTAGAATAGCTTTAGTGATGGCCTCTAAGTGTGCCCTATTCATCACTGTAAAATGGAAACCAAGTGCACTAGGCTGCCCTAATTTCTTAACTCTTTTTTGTGTGGCAGAAAAGGGGAGGGATTTTTCAAATCTGACAACATTTCTACAATATCCATTCTAAAAGATGTGCTCTCTAAAGAAGCTACCAAAAGGAAAGTTAATCTCAATATATCATATGGTAAGATATTTTTCTCCTCTATTTCATTTTATCTTATTCATGAAAGCATTAATAATATTAATATTAACCTTACTGGAATTTTTTTTGTTCTTACTAGATATAAATGAAGCATCTGTGAATCACACATTGAAACTAATCCACCCAAAACTAGAATATCAGCTGTTGTTGGCCAAGAAAGTTCAGTTAATAGATGCTTTAAAAGTAGGTATCTGTACATAACTTCTATTGTGGAAGAGGGGAGGAATTGTTTTGTGTTAGGATGCCAGTTGCCAAGTTATACAATCACATGGCATCACTGGGTTTATAGTATTTCTGTTGTCAGGACTGCTGTTTGTGTTTGTAGGTTATTAAAGAGATTTTGTTAAAAAGAACTCATACACCACTTGCATTCTAGCTTCACAAGTGAGTAACCTGTTTTAATGACTGATGAGTTCTTTGTGACATCTTTTTAAATACAGCTGTCTCTTGCTACCCTGTCCAACTCGGGTTCTCCAGCTCTCTCCTTCTCTTCCTTGGCTCCAGAGAAAATAAATAAATAAATAAAAAGGTCACAGCAAAGCCTCAGAGGCGCGGGACCCCTCCACCTCCCCGGCTTTGCTCCGGGTGTCCCTGGTCTGCTGGAGACGGTCCCCAGCAGACCAGGGGCACCCAGAGCAGCTTTTCTTGCCCCAGAGGTCGAGGGGGCAGGACCGCTGCGCTCTGGGCGGTCCCGCTGCCTGCGAGCTCCGGGGCAAGAAAGCCCCGTTCGTAAGTGCGGAACCAACATAAGTCGGATCCGCGTAACTCGGAGACTGCCTGTAATAATAGTGCATGTCTCCCACCCTCCTTGTGCTGGGTGGCAAAGAATTGTTTTAATCTTTTCTTAACTGTGAGATGCCACAAACTTAGCCTGGAATCTGAATCTGGGTTCTCTCTAGCTATTTGATCTCCTACAACTGTGCTTCTATCAACCAGAAGTATGTGTTGCTAGTAAGCAGAGGCCCTCCAAGGGGTACTCCAGCTCATCTAGATATTTACCTAATTTTACAAGAAGCTACATGAAAAGAAGTAACAAAGTCAGTACTAACTAAAATTCCATACAAAAAGTGACTTATTTATAATGCTCTGTATATTATACATTGAAATATAAGTACAATTATATGGTAAAATGATAAAATAGGCAGTTTTTCAGTAATAGTAACTTATATTTTTATGTCTGATTTTGTGAGCAAGAATTTTTTGAATGAGGTGAACTTGGGTACGCAAGACAAATCAGACAACTGGAAGGGCCACAGTAGTCTGGAAAGTTTGAGAACAGTTGCTCCATAGTAAATGTTTTTGACTGGAAATTTATTAACAGTTCTATTGATATATGAGCCAAAAAGGAACCTGTTTCTGTAGCACAAACTGAAGTAAAATGTAATAAAAGTTTGTTGCTAGTCAGCAGGCCTTGCTTAGAAAAATATAGAAGGAGCGTGTCTGTTAAGTGCCACTTTACCAGAGCCCGCCCAAGGTACGGGCCAACCGGGCTACCGTAGGGGGTGCTGCGTGGGGCTGCCGGGCAAGGCGTGGGCCTCCCGGGGGCGGGGCCACACATGCACTGCGCACCTGGGGCGGGGGAGTGCTGTGTGCCCCGGGGCTGGAGCCGCACATGCGTCGCACTCCTGGGTGTGGCGCCATGCTCCTGGGGTGCACGAATGGCTTGGGCCGGCCCTACACTTTACATAGACATTTTTCTGAGGACAACCTCCTTTTAACATCCCATTTTGATAAATGGAGAAAGTTTCATCTTTCTGAACTATTATTTCTGTATGTTTTGAAATTGAGGCAGCACAGCTCGGGTCATGTAGAAAAGATTGTCTCTCTAATCGTAAAACAGGATTTTTTTTGTTAATGAAAGTTTAGATTTAGAAGAAATTGATGAAACCACCAAAGAAGTGGTGGCATAATGCTAGTGAATAATAGTTTAGTCTGTTCTCTGTAGAAGAATTTAAGCAACATTTCTTTTTCTTATTTTATGGTGGCTTTTTTAAAAATGAAATGAAATCTGCTTGTTTTTAAACATTTAATTATAATTTGTTTCACATATTCTACTTTCTCTAGAGTCTCATAACACCCATTGGTAACTTTTGTTACTTCTCCAATCTTACATTCTTAACTTTTCTTCTTTTAAATATTTCTATGTGAACAACCAAACAGCAAGGGAAAAGTGACGACTAAATTGGAAAAATGGCACTAACTATATACTATGTGCCCAATTCCAATCCCCTTGTAGTCAATGGAAAGACTTTAATTGATTTTCACGGGGATGAAATCAGTTCTTATTCTAAATTCCCAGAAAGACACCAAAGTCAAGTTGAAAAAATTCAGTGTATGATTACTGTTCTATTCCAATCTCTATCCAGTGAAGAAATAGTACTGGACAGTTCACCACATAGTCTGCTGATGTTCAGAATTGGAAGCTGTAACACACAAGTTTTTTAATCCAGTGTTAAGTGGGCAATACCATTGGGAATTTAGTGAGGAGAGGGAGAAAACTGTATTTCAAAAATAGCAAGAGCAGTTTTGAAGGACTGTTTCACCTGTTATGCACTGACTCTTGTCAGATCTAAATTCTGTTTTCATTTAAGTTTTTAGAATTGACAGCCTTTAATTCTTTTGCAACATTTTAAAATCTATTTTAAGGAGTTGCAGGTTCATGAGGGAAACACAGATTTCCTGATATCAGAGTACCGCTGCATTTTAGAGGAAGCAGACCACCTGCTTGAGGAGTACAAGAAACAACCTGCACATCTTGAGAGACTTTATGGTTTGTTCATAATATAACTTTTCTCTTTTTTAAAAATAATTAAAAATAGTAATGAGCAGAGAGATAAAAATAGAGTTCTAAGTTTTCTAGTAATAGCACTAGAATAAATTTGTCAGGTAGGTACAATAGAGTAACGCCAGGAAGACCAGTAGATCATGGTGAATATGCCTGTAAAACTCTTCTCAGTAAACTCAAGAGTCTGGGTATTACAGAAAATTTTAATATTATGAATTAAAACTGAAAAATATATGTAAAAATCAAACTATGTACTTAGTATTATTGACATACATATAAGGACAAATGTAAAGTATGGCACATAAGAAAGAACAATAACTTGCACACATAAAAGATGGGAAATGACTAGGCTAGAGTACTGTGGAAAGGGATTTGCGGGTCATAATGGATCACAAGCAAAATATGAATGAACTGTATAATGCTGTTGCAAAAAAAGCAAACGTTCAACAGGAGTGTTGTAAGCAAGACACGAGAAGTAATTCTTCTGCTCTACTTTGAGCTTATTAGGCATCTGAAGTAGCGTGTCTAGTTTGGGTGTCACATTTCAGGGAAGATACATACAAATGATAGTCAAAAGAAGAGCAACAAATGATGAAAGGTATAGAAAACATGATCTGTGAGGGAAGATTGGGGAAAAAAATGGTATGTTTAGTCTGGAGAGGACACGGAGGAGACAGGATTAATTTTCAAGTACCTAAAATATGGTTACAAAGAGGAGGGAGAAAAATCATTCTCCTTAACCACTGACGATAGGACAAAAAGCAATGAGTTTGAATTGTTGTAAGGGCAGTTTAGATTGAACATCAGGAAAAATTTCCTAAATATCAGGATGGCTAAGTACTGGAATTAATTGCCAAAGGAGGTTATGCAGTCTCCATCATGGGAGATTTTTAAGAGCAGGTTACACAAACATCTGTCAGGGATGATCTAAATAATACTCAGTCCTGCTAGGAGTGCAGGGGACTCAATTAGAAGATCTCTCAAAGTCCCTTCCCGTCCTATGATTCTGTGTGAAATTCTTCAGAAACTCAAGAACAATTCAAGAGAGAACCTTAGAAAATGAATCAATGAAATTAAAGGCAGTGCTGAAAATTCAAGAGTTGGATTATTCTGATGAGATTCATGCACTTTATTTAGTGAAATGCTAAAATAGAGGGATTACTCTGCTTGTTATAACCCCAGTTCAAGAATGGATCCTTATTCACAGGGCTTGACAAACGGCAGCGAAATCCGCTCGCCAGTCCCACACTGCGCATGCGCAAGACACTCATTGCGCATGCGCATGCCACCGGTGAACAGGGCAACCGGCTGAAATCTACTCACCACGGACGAGTAGATTCAATGATTTGTCGAGCTCTGCTTATTCAGGACAGCTCTTCAACATGAGCTT